GCCCCGCCGAGGGGGGCAGAAAAGGGCGCACTTTTCCAGGGGGGGCGCCGGCTCCACGGGCGGCAGGGCCATCCCGTTCTGTCGCAAAAAAAATAAAAATCCTGCCGCATCATGGGCAAGAAAAGCCACCGCGGGTGGCTCTTCTTCGCTGCAAGGTCGCAGCGCGGGGACTCTGTCCCCGCGCCATGACCTTGTTTGTCATGCATATTTTCCATGAGCGGTGATGTCTGTGATGCATGCCGTAGCATCACAGATTTTTAGGGGGCTTTGCGATAGTACCTCTACCGCATGAGAAATGCCTTCTCCGCGCTGGACAAACCCGACCCCTCTTGCTGGTCATGCACTGCAAATTTTTTTAGAATCCACCGACAGCATCACAAGTTGTGACCTTCCAGACCCAGACATTTTTGCAGTTGATAGCTGTTCGCTGGGAACTACCTGCCGTTATCCACAGCGGACGTGGAAAGCCAAGCGCCGGAGGCCCCGGGGTCGTGCTGCTGAGAAGGGATCCGAAGTCAACCACAAGTGAAATTTTCAGAAGAGAAAAACATTATCAGACAAATATGAGACTTTTAGAGTGAGACAGATCTAGAAGTAAGTTGTGCTTTTGGACAGATAAAAAACTACGGAAGATTTTACGCACGGAAGTAGTCTTCACATGTTGTACTTACGAGAAATCAATATTTATAGCAAGATGGACATATAACTTTTACCTTTAGAATGAGATTTTTGGAAGATGTCAGCAATAGCTTCCGCAGCATGGGTGGAGAAATTCGGGCAGGAGGTGATCGTGCGCTTTCGCCACTCTATCAGCAACGCCACCACTTTTTCTTCATCAGTTCATTTACACACGACCGCCCAGCATGTGAGACTCCGCAGTGTAAAAGTGTTGCTTACTTTGAAGATGCCAGAAGAAGCAGCACATCGGAGCGGTAGTTGTTTCTCCGAGCCGCATTTCGAAAAACCGTTTATTCAGACACTGTAACCTTGTTTTATTTGTTTGCACATTTGACAGATCATTGGTTTCTTATTTGATTCATTGTTTTTACAACAGCATCAGCAATAGAAGATAACGAAAATTGTTCTGACGAGATCGACGAGACCGGCTTTTCTATGAAGTTATTTTTGGCTAACAAGTGGCAAAATGTGATCAGCCTGTGTACATTAAAGATTATGCTACTTCATCTTCATTTTGAAATGTATGACAAAGCGGAAAGACGATTACCCCGCCACCAAGAGTACTACTACTTCTCCCGCCAGGTTGCTCGCTTGAGAGCAAATACAAGCGAGCTTATTTTTGTTCTTGTTTCTCCCTAGAATCAACAGCTCCTGGCGGTGGAGGACACGAAGCCATAAAATCATACGAAAAAAGCACTGATGAAATCGTACGACAACTTCACACGCTCTTTTTTCGAAGTATTATCTCGGTCCGTTTTTTCGACGTCGTGGAGAAGCAGGATCCCGCTATAGAAGTCGGTTACCATTTCAAAAATCGTCCACAACGACCAAGTTTTTTTCCTAGGAAAATAAGCACTGGACAGGCGTCAGCTTGTTTTCATCAAAAGCGTATCTGTGTATTTGTCTATGCAGCGGAACTTGTAGTTACTTTTAGAATTCGTCCGCTTTGACTAGTATATCTGTACGGCTCATGATCTTGCAGAACGAAGGACAGGAAGAAGTCCACATTTATCTTTGTGGCAAAGCCTAAAAATTGTCGTCCATGCCCGCGAGGAAAGGCGGTAATTATAGGTATTGTACAACAGTACAGAGCTCCTGCAGCAGCCAATACGTTCAGCGCAGAAAGCACTTGTCGCTTCAATAAGTTATGCAACAAGACTAAGTACAAATAGCGAATCGAAAGCTTTGACGACGTCGAATACGTTTTTACTTTGCATGTGAGAGTCTCGTCGTGTCTACAACGTTACAGTTTCGGATTGCATCAAGGTGATTTATTTCGTCGAAAGCATACTCGTCTACTCTAAGTACAAGTTCGCAAGAACAACTCTGCAAGGAGGAGTTGTCGTCGGTTTTCTTTTCGTTGTGAAGATTTTTTCGTCGAAGAACTGTCGTGAAAAGCTGGCACGTGCTGCCCACCGAAAAGAGAAATAAATATTCGGTCGTTTTACTATGAGAACTACGGTAGCATTATATGCGTAGGCTGTACTTCGTTACTTGCGCAGCTACCGAAGCCTATCGATTTGTCGTTTTTTTCGCAGATGAAGTGGTCTTAGCGCTGCTCGTCCCGTATAACGAGCAGGGTCGTCAGAAGTGTAACGTCAATACGTGCTGGCTATTGTATGCTGCTATTCGTCGTTTTTTCCTACTCTAGCCTGCCAGCGACAGGCTGTGCTGGTTGTACCTACCTCGTTCGTCCGCGGAAAGATACGGAAAGAGAAAACGTTTTTATAGTCGCATTCATACTATGCGTAAAATGTGTAGTTGCTCTGTGGCGTCTTTCAGTAATCTACTAATAGTTCATTCTACGGTCGTGCTTTTCATTGTGGCAAGAAAAATTCATCACCCCGCACATCAAAGACAGTTGCAGCAAGAAGAAAATCGGTTTGGAAGTGTCACTCTGAAGAACCACTTTTTTCCGCAAGATAGAACAACAAACCTCCTGGATAATTAGACCTCTCTAGTCGAAAATTGTCACTTCTGACTCCTATTGCGTTTGATATTTAGCTGCATAAGACACCTCTCGTGCGTAAAATCTTTATTTTCGGCGTCAGTTCGTGCGCCAACAAATTTACCTTTACTTCTTTTTGGCTCCACAGAAGAGATCGGTGTATTGCATTTCTTGTCGTCTGAACGAGCGTTGCCGTCTTTTCAAAGAAGATTACAACTGGAAGATATTAAGTTGCACGACCTACAGTAGCACAGGGACGCGAAAAAAGGAAAATTGCATGGTCTACAAGTACAACGAACTGCAACTACACGGAAACAAGCATTTTGTTTCGCACACGTACCAGGCACACGGAAACAAGGCACAGGACGTCGCACACGCAGTTCTTCTGCAGGCACTTGAGTAGTATCTACCTCAAAACAAGTCGACGCCGACCACATCAAAGTGCCGCGGTTCCTCTACCCGGCAACCCCGCAGAACTGGGTTTTGAACCTTGTCAACATCTACGTCGCAGCTTCACCAACAGCAACGGCACCAACTTCCTTCAACCATGACGGCGGGCGTGGAGGAGAAAACGGCGGCCGTGGCGGCGAAGAACACCGTGGAAGTGAAAAAGAACACCGCGGACGCGAAAATCAGTAAGAACACTGGCCTGCTCAAGGAACAAGCCAAGAAGAAGAAGAAGAAGAAAACGAAGGCTGGAGTTGTCAGCGAACCTGCACCCTGGCATCTGATGCTCGCGACCGAAAGTGGAACTTGTGATGCAGAAAATAACCAAATAACCGGCGCACAAGAACTGCAGTCCGATAGCAACAAAATTGACGCTGGAGAAGATGGAGTGCCGCCACCGCTGCTGACCACCACGTCGGAAGCGAGGTATCCTAGTGAAAAAAGCGGGTAGAGTCAGGGCCTTTTTGTCATGCAAAAATGAAAGTCATACTGAATTGGAAAATCTGTAATGGGCACAGGACCAGTAGCGTCCTGGGCTGCTTTTTGCGGTACTATAATGCAAGAGAGATTCATTATTTTTCGTGGACATGGACTTGGTTTTGGATATACAAGCATGGCCCGCCACAGCTGTTTTCTCTGGGATACGAGAACCTTGAGCACTATGGATCTGTCAGGATCGAAATCGTCAAAGTTGAAATGATTTTTCATGCATAAAATGCAGCCCACAAAGTGCCCGTCTTGCAGAGTAGGCAAGTGAGGCAGATTGTAAGCCTGTTGAGGGGTAGAAACTGAGGCGCTAAACTAGCATGACAAAAGGCGTCTTCCTTATTCAAACAGCATGACAAACTGGATACCGGTTCTACCCAGATTTATCATGCGCCACTTGGAAACTGGATTTCAAGTGGCATCCATTTTATGCATTACAAACTATTTCCACTTTGACGATTTCAAACCTGACGCTTCCATAAGCACCACGACGCCGTCCTCGAGCTCCTCGTCGAACAGCGGCTCCTGCAGCGATATCAAATGCAAATATCGATCTGGGTCTGGAAGCGTGCAAGTTTGTCATGCTCGGTTAGCATGAATGTGAATCTCAAGGCCTCTGTCATGCGCATTACCCCAAGGGGAAGGGCCCCAACTTTCTGTCATGCAAAAACGCAGTTTGTCATTGACTTTGTCACACTGAAATCACCTCAGAAAATTGTTATGCTGAGCCGCCACTTGATCTGGCATCGTCCTCGTGATCTTTCGCCATGCAGCAGCACAGGTTCTTTCCAGACCCAGGTCGAGATTTTCATTCGATAAGCGAAGAGCTGGCCGCTGGCGGGAACTACGTCATGTCTACTTCTTCCGGGAAAGAAGTTGAGCCCGGTTTTCTAGTAGTTGGCACTTCAACTTCTGACGCTGGTAATACTTCTTATTCGGCATCTAAAAACGCGGTTTCCTTTTCCGTCGAGATCATCCACTGTGCGTTCGAACCCGAGCCAGTGACGTTTGGGCCGCTGCGTGTGGAGATTCCCAAACCCTTTGAGACGAAGCTTTTCGGACAAGGACAGAACAATGATGATACAGCGGGAATATCAAATGCAAAAATGTCTGGGTCTGGAAGAATACAACTTGTAATGCGTATTTCAGAACACAGAGAAGTCTCTCATGCATACGTAGCAAAAGCTCCCCACTTTCTGTCAGCAAAATAGGGGACTTGTCATGCGGATTCGGCATTGCGGAAGCTTCTCGAAACCTGTGATGCTAGAGCTTCCATGCCAGACCTTCTGTGTGATGCAAAAACAGCATGACTCTTCCAGACCCAGACACTTTTACATATGATAGGGACGGACAATCATCCACTGCGCGTTCGAACCCGAGCCGGTCACGTTTGGGCCGCTGCGTGTGGATATCAAATGTAAAAATGTCTGGGTCTGGAAGACTGCAACTTGTCATGCTAAATCTGAAGCATGTAAAAATCTGTGTTGCATGATTACCAAAAGTCGTCCAGTTTTGACCAAGTCGGGAGGGAGTTTCTCATGCAGGATAGGCATGAGAGAGATCGCACAGAATCTGTCATGCTAGGCCCTGCATTCCAGACCTCATGGGTCATGGAAAATCTGCATGACAAATCGCGCATTCTTCCAGACCCAGACATTTTTACATTTGATAGTGGAGATTCCGAAACCCTTTGAGACGAAGCTTTTCGGACAAGGGCAGAACAATGATGATATTTTTACAGCGGGACGAACAACAACAGTTGGACTTGGAGCAGCCACTACTAGTACACCTTCATCAACCTCCTCCGCAGTAGATGAACTAGAAAAACTGCAGCAGCGAGCGCTGTATGCATTGCCAATATGTCTGGGTCTGGAAGGATGCAAGGTTTGTCATGCTTGTCTAGCATGACTCTGAGCTCTGTATCGCGTGCCCGCAAAGAGCTCCTCTTTCCTGTCATGCAAAAACGAAGATTCTCATGCGGATTACGCAACTCAGAACCACGGAAAAATTTGTCATGCTTGGCAGTGCATTACAGTGAGCGCATTGTAGTTCCCTGACTTGCATCACAAGTTTCCAGACCCAGACATATCTGCAACCCATACGCTGGAATTTTGTGCGAATTTGAAGCCAGCGGAGATAGAAGAATTGCTGGCCGCCGAAAGGAAAAGGAGAACTACTTCTACCCGTAAAAATGCAGCTGATATCCACAGGCACAGTAAATCTAAATTTGCCGCACACGACGTACGAATGCGGTTTCTGCATGACGAGTGCTTTCTACAATGCTAATAGCAGCATGACAAGTTGTACTTCCTAATATGCTCAATAAAATTGGGAAAGTCAACATTTGTGATGCATTTTGATGTACGTGCAGTACGGCAGATTTGTATTGCATAACAGCCAGTACAGGGGAACAGCAGCAAGGCGAGGAAGTGGATGAGATTATGGAGGAGATTGAGAACTACTATCAGCAAGAGTCCGGTACTATCAAATGCAAATATGTTGTCATCTGGGTCTGGGAGATTGCGAGATTTGTCATGCAAGCTTGGCATGACTCTGAAATCTGTATTGCGTGGCCGCAAAGTAGAGCTCGTCTTGCCTGTCATGCAAAAACGCAGTTTCTCATGCGGAGTAAGCAACTCAGAATTTTTCCATGGAAAAACTTGTCATGCTTGGCAGCGCATTACAGTGCGCTCCCTATTCCCTTTCTTGCATCACAAGTTCCCAGACATCCAGGGATATTTGCGATGCATAGGTACCAGTACCATCAGTGCCGTCACCCGGCAAACCATGGCGGGCGATCAGATCCGAATCTACTTATCAAATGCAAAAATGTAGTCTGGGTCTGGAAAAGTGCATCGTTTGTCATGCACGTTTTGCATGACGCGTGAGGTCTGTGATGCATGCCCTAGCATCACAGATTATGTGAGATCTTTACCATGCCTTTTCCGCATAAGAAACTACCTCCCGGCCTTCTCAAAAGTGAACAGCTTTATTGGCAATCATGCAACACAGATTTATGTATGATTCAGATTTAGCATGACAAGTTGTACTCTTCCAGACCCAGACATATTTGCATTTGATACTACTACGACGGGAATGATTTGTCATGCACTGGCGGACGCGAAGGCGAACAGTCAACATGCGGGTTTCATGATCCCAGCAACAAGAACAGCATCAAGCAATGGACCATCACATGGGAGGGGTTTCATATCGCAAGAAAAAACTGTTTCACTATAAATTTGTGATGCATTTTCCCTTTGGAGGCTGGCATGGCGAATTTTCTTTGTGATGTAGTGGGACAAACTTGCGATGCAAAATCTGCAAAGTAAGTGTTTTACAGTGGAACAGTTTTTTCGTTGGATATTGCAGGAAGTGGCTGTTGGAACGGTGACCAGCTGCACGGACTTGTTCGGGGATTACTTTCTGTGAAGACAAAGAGCAATACTGTGAGCTGTTAAAAACAATAGCAGCCGCCTTGTACGGCTCATCCATTGTCCTTTCAACAATATGGCGCAACAACTTACGCCCTGGTGGGTGTAGGTAACTACTTGCTGCGTTTTGAAGAGTAGTTTTCTCGAAAGTTTAAGTAGTTTGTGATAGTAAAAGATCAAAGTTTCTCAGAACGCGCAGCCCCCGGTTTTGGCAGATAGTGTATGCGTTTGTTTCGTTTTGACTGTTTGAACCCGTATTTGATTCTCATTTTCCTTTATACAAGTGCTACAACTTCTGCTACTGGTACATTAAACCCCCCGCATCGCGTTCTGTTTTCTACCCACAACGTAATCATCAATGCACTTGTAACATCAGCTCTATTTTTGTCCTCACCACAACTCAAATAGCTTTTTGCCCCTGGTGTCTCGCTGTTTGCGATATCAGTCTTGCGAACTGACAATCCCACAGTGGTTGTTCTTGAGTTCCGCTTCTTGTGCTTTCTATTCGACGAGAGAGATGAGGAGCAATCCGAGGAGAGAAAAATTGTCATTTTGTCTCGGCCGTGCAAAATCGTGCTCGTGTTGCCTCTTGGTCAACCACAAGACGAGAAGATGACAACTTTTGTCGTGTCAATTCGTCTTTTTCTCCTGAGTGCTGTTGCGAGCGCCACTTGACGTCTGAGCAGTCTTGCGTTTCATAAATCGTTGTAGGTTCTTCTTGTCGGGTCCCGTCACTTCATAAATCGTTGTTGGGTCCCGTCACTTCATAAATCGTTGTTGGGTACCGTCACTTGACGAATCTCGTGGCCGCATACTAGAGGCAAAGAAAGACCAACCTAGTTCTTGCCGCAAGAACTGTTGTTCCTGAAGATTTTCCAAACGGCGAGGACGACAACTACTACTGCTCTCCTCGTTGGAAGAGAAAATAAACGTCATGGCAACTGCACCAGCCGCGACCTCATCCAGTGCCGCTACGCTTCCCATGCCAATGCCCGGGCCGGCGCCACTTCCCACCGGCTCTGAGCAGATCGGCGGCTCTGCGTCCTCAACCAGCGCGGCTGGAGTATTACAATGAAAAATGCCCCCACGCCCACCCCCGAACTTGAAAGCATTTGTATTGCAAACCTTTCCAAATGAAACATTCGCCCTCTTGCATGTATCAGCATCACAGATTTCCGATCGTGAATAGCAAAAATTTGTATTGCAAAAGATCCCAGCAAGAGCGGTGCTTGTCATGTAAGCGATGCGAAACACAACTAGAATCTGCATCAGAAAGATTCATACTCCTTTCATGCATGACAAAAAGTTTTCATTTGGAAACTTCGCATCACAAATTTTTGCAACTTTGGGGTGGGGGGCACTTTTCACTGTAATATGGAGGTGCGCGACCCGGTTCTCTTGCGGCGTCTTCGAATGTAGCGGCAGCAGGTATGCATCGCAAAAGCACCTGTTATCGTGCTCGTATAGAATTGGCCATCGCGCATGACAGATCTGGGTTCTTCCCTATATTTGGAATTAATTATTTCGTGCTGTGGAAATGTGTCGTGCAAGAAAACAACTCTAACTCACTACCTGCACGATCACAGTAGTACTTTTGCAATGCATAGCAGCTGGGTTCCGGCAAATCAACACCAATGTGCGAAGGTGTGGCGACTTTGGCGACTACTTCTTTGACGGCAGTTGGAAGGCCAGTTCCTTCGTTTCACCCCCAGGCCACCTGGACACGGAACTGCGAACGCCATGGGTACTACTTAGAGTCAGAAATTTAAACATGTAGATCAGTGGGAACGAACAAGTTTGTGATGCGCGTATGACCACAGGGAAATACTGTGAAGAAATCGTGGATAAACATAAAGAGTTTATTCATCTTCATCTTGATGTCCTTTCACAGTACTATCATGATTAAGTACTTACCTGCTCCGGTAGATTTAGTTGTGCCGATCTTGTTCTCTCAATACCTTACAGACGAAGACCCTGAACTTCGTACCGAGATCGGGAAAGGCCGGCCCGCCCGCTTTGTGGCCGATCGATCACGTAACAAAGACCCCGACCGTGCCGCAGGAGCCGGTTTGGGGCTACGACAAATTATCGCTGCGGGGAAATCACGTGCCGGGATACTCGGGCTTTATTCCAGGCGAGAAAGCGGAGACGATTTATGGGAGTTTACGGTCGGGAATAAGTGACCACGCGGAGGGAATTATCCTGAGTAAAAACGTACCCACACCAGAGTCAGGATGGGGATTTTGCAACACAAACCTCGGAGTTTTGTGAGTCACGCATGACAAGTTGCACTCTGCAGTGTAGTGCAGGTTAGCAAGTACAGCCGCATCACAGACTCATCTGCTCATCCTGTTCACAGCATCACAAATTCCAAAACACGATTGGAAATGGCTCTCATGCGGATGCGCATTACAAGTCTTCCTGTCTTTGCAAATCTGCATTACAACTCTGGTGTGGGAACGTTTTTACTCAGGATAGGAATACGGCCCTACGAGGAGAAAGACGTCAGCTTGAAGCCGATTCTGGTATTAGATAGAGTGAATTTATTATCTTTTACGCAGTTCTTGCAAGACAGAGCTGGTAATCATGCGTTTATTACGTAGTTGTTGCAAGACAGATCTCATGCGCACAGGAGGGACATGATAGTCTTTCCTTCCTTCCTGCTTAGATTCCACCTTTTCCAATCCACGAGTTTTTTCTCGTTATACAACACACAGACTTCGACGTCAAAGGATAAACAAATTTTTACAGTACAACAATCCCACGATCGGGCGGATGCCCCTGAAGAAAATCCTGAAGACCACGGATTTGATTCACACGGTGAGCGTATCACAGTCGGAAAAATCGGAAATCCTCGACGTTACATCTCTCAATCGATACAGAAAGATTATGTGCTACGTTTTTGCTCTGGCTGGGTCTCTCCGGCAATGTGAACGTAGCATATAATCGGAGTCATGGCTTTTACTATCGGAAGAGGATTTGCGTTTTTCCACTTGATTCCCGTACGGAAATCTGGAGCCCAATCCTGGGAGTCGGTTGAAGCAATACAAAGACCACGTTCCGCCGCCAAGGATAACGCGTACTATATTTAGGTTTGGCATGCAGAAACTCTTTCAAAAATCGCATTTGTGATGCTGGATACGACCACGCATGGTTGATGACAAAAAAAAATCACCCTTCAGCAAACTGCTCCTCCACCGGTATACTTGGATGGTCGGGTTTATCCCAGAAGAAAAAAGATACGTCTAGATCACATTTGTAATGCAAAAAAAAGTAACCACTGCAAGCACGTGCATCTAGACCTACAGCACGACGAGACAAAAAATTTTATTGCCATAGTGTATCCCAGCCAGCATGATGCTACGGGCTCGCCCATGACAAACTTTTATTCCGTATCCGTGCATCTACTTTTGCATTACAAATGTGAAGATCTTTTTTCCGCCTGATACGATTTCCGACCTGTGGTGAACCGGAACCTAGATGGACGGAAACCGAGCTACCTGTCCCACGATGTTTATCCAAGATAAAAATTGTCAATTAGTGTAAATCTGCGATGCAGAACATGTAAGGTAGTTGCACTTGTCATGCTGGATGAAGCGCGTCCCAGGCTGCCTGCTTTTCCATGCGTGTTTGCAACACGTGGTAACTATGCATCGCAACTTTTCTCTCTCATCCAGTACAGATTTGTGATGCTGTCAGCCCAAGATGAAAGCTGCACTAGGTAAACAGTTTTTTTCTTGGATAATGTACAGATGATCACCGGGAAAAATGTATGGAATGCTGAAGACGCAACACAAATTCTCACTTCTATACTGAAGACGCAATATTACAAATTTTCACATCCTCTACTTTCTTCAGCATGAGGATATAAAATCGTTTGTCATGCTAAAAGTAAAAGGCCAAGGCTGCTAAGAGGCCAAGGGTCCTTGTATGGTTTCGCATGTCAAGAAGTACCCGAAGAAGATATAAGCAAAGTGAGAATTATGCTCAAGCAACGGCTTCGCCTTCCATACACCAATCCGGGCTACACGGGCTACCGGCCGGGGCATATTTGAGGGGAAAAAGACCTTTCGTGATGGGAACAACGAGAGGTTCGGGTAGAAGTTGGGTTTCTAAAATATGGTAAGCGCCGGACGTTGTTAGTAGATTAAATGATTAAACAATTGTTGTAAGATGTTAGAGTCACCTACTACTCCACCTACTGCATCACTGCTTTCTTCAAAGCAGAACTAAGAGATTTTTCCATCAGGAGTGCACTGAGAAGGTACCACTAATGTCTTGTTCAATACCATTTGAAATGAAAGTCTTCTCTCATGTAAAAAAAGGGTGGAGCAGGATGATCTGAACACAGGTAACGACCGTGAACTGCTTGAGCTGGTTTGTACAAATTTCGATTGCCATTGCATCAGTACCCAAGAAACTAGCTGTTATCCGTGTGACCGCAGTATTTGTACACGATCGCAGCCGTGCCGCTTGCTGTAGCAAGGACCACAGACTCTAGAGCAGGGGTGGGAGGTGAGTGGGAAAGGAGGGAAAGGGGAAGGCAGCGAGCGGGACAGGGGGGACGCAGAAAAGAGGGTGGTAGCCGGAAAGGAGGGGGGGAAGGGGAGCAAGGTGGAAGGAGGGGGGGAGCCGGGAAGGCGGTGCCAAAGAGAAGGAGAGAAAGCAGCAACTCGCGAAAAGGAAAGGGAGAAGAGGGGCAAAGAGGAGGAAACAGGGGAAAACGCTTCAAAGGGGGGTGAGCAGCAGGGGGGAAACGGGGGGAAATGCGAAAAAAGACGGGCATGCCAGGGCAGAGAGGTAGAGAGAAGAGCGGAAGCAGGAAGCAGGCGGCATTGATGGGAATTCGTGGGGTTTGTTCCGCACGGTAGAAGAAATTCTCCGGACATGGGCTTCCCAGGTGATTTCTGGGAAGCAGTCTACGGCGTACTGCTTCACAGGAGGAAGTTTGTAGTAGAATTCCGTGCTTCACCGGGTGATGAAGCTGTGTGGATGCCCGAACCGGGCCCGGGGCCCTCGCCGGACCCCGGGGTCCCCCCCCCCCTCCCCCCTCCTCGAGGGGGGGTCCCCTCCCCCGGACCCCGGGGG